CATAAAGAATACAGGTTCATAAATTCAAGTAAATAAAAAAAATTTAAGAATTAGTAAAAAAATATATGGGTGGTGGCAGGTGGTGGGTGGCTCTGGGACTGTCATGTCGGCTGTCTCGGGAGTGAGTAGCAGTAGCGGCGGCAGTTCCGGTCAACCCACACCCATTGCACTTGTACCCAACGTAATCGACTCTCTCTCTAGGTTGTCCTCGTCACAGGTAAATAAATGTTGGAAACTACCAAGGAAGGTTACATTGATTTTGTAAACTTTGTGATCGCATGGATGATGTGTTCTGCAGGTGCAAAAGCTTTCATAACCAATTTCTTAAAATACTCCATAATTACAGCTACATATAATTGCTTATAGGACTTAACAATACTTTTTTCAAGTCATAGCTACATATCATTAGTGTGCAATGCAACTAGTTTTGGTTTCAGTAATGTATTTTTGTCCTTGTAGTATGTTGCATTACAAAAACCTAATTTTACACTAAGGAACTGAATGGCAACTTATAAATGTGAACGTATTTCCCTTACAATCATTTCATATTATCATTCTTATCTGTGTTAAAAATAATTATTATAATTCGTACATTTATATTGATAATGAATTATCAACGTACTCGAAAATAAAACATAGTACAACAACATTTATAAACAGTCCACTCGTTTTAAAATTTATTCTAAATGAATTTTCATTGTTATATGAAAAAATTGAATCATATTTTATATCAATAATAAAATATGTAAAGCAGCAAAATTCCAATTTGTATTATATATTCTTTCGAGCGAACATTAATTGATATTATTTAATATTGTACACAGAAGAATATGCTATCGTATATATGATTGCCTCTTGAATAAAAATTTCATTTTATATTTTTCAGAACACGACATCCAATCCTAAAAATCCTACAGCAAAATTATTGAGTCAACCAAGTATATCTATAACACCACTGCCGCGTACAACATCTCAGTCTTCTATTCCTGGTTCTGGTACTTCATCAAAGTCAGGGGGGAAGACTACATTTGTTATATGCGAGATCTGCGATGGTTATATTAAGGTAAACTGTATTAATGTATTAGAAATATTTTCTGTGCTTAACATATTGCGTTACCTTGACGGAATTAAGTTCGTATAAGAATACGACTCACCGATTCAATTTATTATGAAAATTTATGCGTCCTTTTCAGGATTTAGAACAACTTCGTAATCACATGCAATGGATTCACAAAGTGAAAATACATCCAAAGATGATTTATAATAGACCTCCACTGAACTGCCAAAAATGTCAGTTCCGATTTTTCACAGATCAGGTATACATCCACGATATTGCCTTCAACTTAGTTTCTCATAAAATTGGATTGAATTATATTATAATATTTTTTGCTTTAAAGATATATTCATACGTTAAATATAAAACTATAAGAGTATTTTATCTAATTACCACAGGGTCTTGAAAGACACTTACTTGGGTCTCACGGTTTGGTTACATCGAGTATGCAGGAAGCAGCAAACAAAGGAAAGGACGCAGGTCGCTGTCCTGCTTGTGGCAGGGTAAGTTTATTTTTATCCTTGTGGTAACGAAGTTAACATTGCGCGCACTAATGATTGAGAGTGTCTAAAACAGCATAACACCTGAGAGCTATGAATCTTAATTTTTTAGGTATATCAATGGAAATTATTAAATCATGTCGCGCGAGATCATGGAATGACTTTAAAGCCTGCGCATCTATCTTATAAGTGTACAGTCTGCACTGCCACGTTCGGAATGTATAAGCAGTTCGAGAACCATGTTTATTCGGCACATAGTGTCGTAGCTAAGAGAGTAATGGATAAGAAGAATACACCTTCATCTCCATCGTCCAGATCCAATGATTCCCTTCTGAAACCATTGAAGATCAATGACGAGATCACAATTATTCCACAACCAGCAAAACCTACAACTAGGTCGGGTACATCTCAAGGCAGAGGAAAATAGCAATGATCAGCAGAGTGATACATGTGTCTTGTCTTACTGAATTTCACGTAACAATTTTGTGGTACTCCATACCGGTCATTGTAGTACACAGTGACTGACGTGCCGTGTACATGTGTATGCATATTACTGCT